TAGAAAACTACCTCTTTTATAAAACCCGAGAGTATTGCAGTTCCTATACTCTAAATGAGGGGGTTCAAATAAATTACTAAAATAATAACTAAAATGGAAGGATGTTTTGGTAATATTCCGTCAGGCTCAGCACTCCGTGTCTTCTACGACCTTAGTGAGCAATAAAACAAAATCATATGCAGACGTAAAATTTATGTTATGCCAAACAAATACTTTGCCTTCACATTTGTTTGTTTCTTGGAGACTCGTCAACTCTACACTTCTTTCTTATTTACGAACGACTCAGTCAGTCTTGTATCCAATCTTGGATTCTCATAAAAAGTCAGTAGAGAGTGATGTTGCAGGTTTTCATGTGTTCCATGACTAAGATACGAACACGGTTCAGTCCGACTAATCGAGTATTAGATTGGAATGTAGATCGTGCAAATGCACAACAATCAAAATGTGTTTTTGTGTGTTTCATTTATCATTTATGTAATTTTCATCGAGTTAATTGCAGATTTTTTGTATCTGGTCTTCCTGCTTTTATATTTAAGTTGACACCGCAAAGCCTAGGCAATACGGCTTTAAAGATACAACCACTCCTATGATGCAAAAAATTATTGAGTGCGCCCAGGTCGTAGACCTCGATTGCAGGGCGACTCCAACTCTGCCACATCATTTTAAACTAACCCCGATCAAAGGTGTGAGCTAACATTAATGACTGTTTTGTTATATGAACCTCAACAAATTCAATTTTTATACCATATAGATTTAAATGTTTTGAATTAAAAACAATCAACCGTCAGGTCAGACGACCAATAAGACACTAACCCCAACATCAAAACAAAGTTATGATTTCTCTAAAGAGGTTAGATTAAAATATTTCATTTTAGGTATTTTTTGCTTTAAGATTTTTTTTTTTTCTTGACCGAGTAGCGAAGGAAAATGATGAGTGAAAAAAAGAATTTGACCCCTGCGAAACGACAACCTAGTTAATTTCATTTGGTACGTCGATATCGGACGCCGACTGAAGACAGACTTTGCCTCAATCAACAGTATTAATTTCATTCGAATAAGAGTTATTTACTTTTATTTATTATGGTTTCAATTAACGTAATTGTGATGTCGACTCATTTTACAATGTTTTAATACATTGTCGGTCGACCGTATATTTAAACACAGAACAACTTCTAAGGTTGGATTCAAACCAACGACCCAATTGATAGGGTAAGATGTGTGTGTAATCTGACTAAGCTTCCCTCCGAACTGTGCGTGCCATATTTTTAAGTACGCGACTCTCCATCGGTTTGGAAAAACTACTGAATGTTTCTCTTTTATTTTCATGTACTATGAGTTTTTACTACATTTCAAGGAATAAAATATGTAGAAACTTCTTTTATCATTTCTGATGGGACATATGACTTTACAATTTTTTTAGCTAATGGGTTTCATGACTTTCATGTCATCATAAGAACCATTTTTCTTATTATCTATTGTGTTCGTCAATACATGGCTTCCCGGTTGATTGTCCACACTAACGCATTAATTATCATTATTTTGCTTATGTCACTCGATCGGAGGTTATAACACATATCCAAATTTTGTCTTTGATGTTGACAAAAAATACCTATTCGTCGAATAATTTCGCTTATAAAAATTATGGTTTTTGGTACTGATAGTGATATTAAAGAATCAGATATTGCCGAACGTACCGAATTTATTGTTTGTTAATCGTAAAATAAGAAAATTGTAATAATGTAGCCCAATGACCACTAAGCTGACAAACTCCTTTATAATCAGCCTCTGAAGTCTCTTCCATCCATCTTACAAAAACCGTGGGTATGACACGCAGTGGTCCCATAACGGGATACCGACTGATGATCTCCCTCATACCATCAGACTACCACTAGTAGAGTCTATGTTCGATGGCAAGGAAAGGGCTCATAACCTTGCGTATGGGTAATGAGCTCCTACAAAAGCGACAACGGGTACCCTCCTTTTGGGATTCTATGTCCCGACGCATGGTGAGTTGAACCTGAGGCTAAAACAAATATGAGGGATCAGGTCAGTCTAGACCGCCCATTGAAATTTGAAATCATAGAGAAACCGTTGTTCCTCCGCAAAGACTAAATTTGAAATGATAATGTTAAAGACCGCTGCGATAGTCTGAAACCATCGGATCGATTAAAACTATAATAAAAGTCTATATTTTAGCGTGAAGTGTAACTTTACCTTTTTTTTTTTCTCTTTTTTTTTTTATTTCTTTTCCTTTTGATTGTGATCGTGACTCACCTACCTATCCCTTAACTCGACACTTACGGACTTGGCGCCCAATAGAAAAAAACTGCATCGTACCTACTACCTTCTCGTTCATGGGCGAGCCCAGCGGTTACCATGAGCACAAACCGGTTGTTCGCAACCCGTCAGGATTGCATTTTGTTAGACCGATAGCTGCCCATAGGCAACCGAAGAGGCCGCAATTGTTGAGTTTGACATTTCAAAATCGAAACCGCGTGGGCGGCTAAGGAGGTCGCAATCCTTGAGTTTTGAACATTTCGAAATCAAAACGGTGTATGCCCACTTTTTTCTGAATAGAAGAATACTTTGAATAGAAAACGTACGCGTTGTATTTGAACACCACGTGTACCATTTTTATTTAAATTTCGAAAAGGAAAAATTATTGGATTCCAATAGAACATTATTATTATTTTTTTTTTTAAGGTTAGCGCTTGCCTTTGCACTCCCCCTCACTGACATGCTGCATGTTGCATGACTCTGTCTCTCTCTCTCTCTTTCACTTTTACACACACACATGCACATACACACACCCACACTCACCCACTCTCACATACACACGTGCGCACTCACACTCCGACATTTTTTTCCCTATTGGTGAGGAGCGGTACCAACAAGAAATTGGTACAACATTCCATGAACATCATGAATAAAGCACTAGCCAGGACCCCCGACACACACACTCTTTGAGTTGTGTAGAACGAGCATGATAAAATATACACGCAATATAATCACTATGTTACCCTTCTCCAACCACATTAACAAACAAACTACGGGATGTGCACTTGCATCCTCATAGTAAGTCAATGCTCTGTTGTACAGCAGAGTGCTAAGCCTGCGTGGACCAAAGTAAAACTCAGTGATGCACCCTCTCCTTTTGCCAGTGAGAGCGCCAATCGGAACGGTCGAGAAGCAGGACACGAACTAGGTGTGCTTGGTACACTGCTACACTCCAGAGGGCCAGGACACCACGCCTTTCGACAATGTCTGAAACAACCTCGATAAGGTTGCAAAATTTGTCATAAACATATCGTTCTCTCAACAGAGTTTCAAGCTTCCCCTGACAATTACAAAGATCCTGTTGGGGAGAGGTCGCACTCTCTGTCATCGATCCGAGATTGGCGCTCTTTAGTTCCTCTGGTACGGCGTCTTTGTTGACCTTCTCATCGTCATTATCAAGGGAGGCCGATCTTGTGATAGCATATTCACAAACGCTGAAGGCGCCGTTCGCCAGTCAAGTCGACCTGAATTGTAAGTCGGTCCGGGAGATCACCTCGATGCCCGACACAAATACGGGTCAATCTTAGGCATTCCACCTTGCATATGCCTATGCTCTAGTGATCGAGAAAACGCCATCGACTGACCTATCTCTGCGATTGCAAGTAAAAACGTTCGCACGTGGGTCAGCAGCTCAGCAAAAATACGCCTACCTAAAAGTGGTGACAACCTCTTAGGTAGAGGTAAGATGTACCTCGCGGAGCTTTATCTTGTTGCAGGGAGCCATGAGAGGTATAACTGAAGTGCACAGTCGGAGCGGCATCTCCGTCAACCGATTCTTAACTTACTCCTACGTGACTCGAATGTCAGGTCCGACACTTACAGCAGCGTGTGGGACCGCGGCACCTGACGCCATGCAATAAAGTCAAGTCCAACATACACAAAATGGTCCATCTAGTCAATTTGAATTGGACACGCGGCATCACACTCACAAAACAAAAAAAAAAGAGACATGTGCTGAATACATAGCCACCTCTTGCAAAAAAAACAATAACCTCTGTCCACAGAAACAAGATGAACCAACTAGTACACCCGAATTGAACAAGGATGCCACACAAAACACACAAAATGTGACTTCACTCTTGTGGCGAAATAGCCTCTGCACCCCTTGTTTGGGAAATTGCTGTACTCAAATGACTTTCACCTGTACCCGATTGATTGGTCGACCGCGTGGGCGCCAAGAAAGCGGCCCTAAGGGCCGCAGTTTTCTTTTTGTGTTTCTTTGGTATTGGTCAACAACAGGGGTGCAGCCAACGCAACCTCTTTTTTATTTTCCCTTTTGGTATTGTAAGGTGCAGTTTGCAGCCCGTCAGGGGTGCGTTTATTGCACGGCCCCCAACTTGGCATTCAGCAGTTGACGTGTGGAATCCCGATAGATCCCGGCACAAAGAGCGCCCCCGCGTTTAGCCAACGACGATTTTTTTGGGGTGCATTTGCAGTCTGATCTGATGAGTGGAGGAACGAGCCCCTCTCTCCGGCCGCTCTGTGCGGACGCTCTGGTAGAGGCAAAAAACATGCACATCCAATCGGGTCGGGTGTACGTACGGCCACGGTAGGCGGACAGAACCTGCGGTCCCACATACGAGGTCCCACTCACAGGGGTTCTTCGTATCTCTTCAAATATCCAGAAGATCGACGGCCAGCGGAAATCGATACTTTTTTTTTTTTTTTTTTTTTTTTGGGGAAATCGATACTTTTTGGAGATCCGAAGACACAAGGCGTCCCACATGCGTCCCACATGCGAGATCCCACAACGGCCGCAGACACGCATTTTTTGCGTCGGGCGCCTTGTGGGATGGTCTGCGGCCGTTGACGTTTTTTTTGCGTCGGGCGTGGCAGCGAGGGGCCCGCCCCCCGCCCCGCGCCCCCGCGCAGGCTGCGCGCCCGATTGCCCCGGGGCGATGGTGGACGCGCGTCGCGGTCTCACTAATGTGGATCCGTCGCGTCCGACCTTTGGTAATCTATGGCGGAAATCGAGGAAGTATCCAGGAAGAACATGAAGCAACCAAGAAGAAACGTGAAAAATATGGGAAGCAACAGGACAGGAACAATCGAAGTAGTGTCGGGGATAACGTGGGACTTACGCGCTGGTTGTCAGGGAATACTCACACTTGGGACTTTTTCGACTCAGCTCTGGACGGTACTGCGGGCAGATGCATTCACGCTCGGCCGTAATTGCAGTCAGATGCGTTCAGGAAAGTGCTAGTGTGAGTATGCCCTCAGTATGAGCTCGACAGTTCCCTCTTGGGAAGGGTATGAGCAGCAGCTTCTCTCTCTTTCTCGTTCTCTTCTTCTTCTTCTTCTTCTTCTTCTTCTTCTGTCTGCTGTTGGCAGCATTCCTCTCTCTCTCTCTCTCTCTCTCTCTCTCTCTCTCTCTCTCTCTTTTTTCTTTTTTTCTGAGGACCAGCTCTCTCTTTTTGCTTCTTTGCTTGCCGTGAGCGCAAACTCGCACGCGGACTTTCCTGGACGCATCTGACCGGAATTGCGTCCTGACCTGTACGTCACTCACCGCAATGGAGTCCAGAGAGGTATGCTGAAAAAAAAAAAAAAAAAAAAAAAAGGAAGTCCTACCACATGATGTTAGTGTGAGTATGGTTGGTCTAGGGGCCTCGCTCCGCCACTCGCCACATGCGCAAAAGAAAAAGAAATATGGCGGTGCATCTTCCCATGTTCTAGCGTAAGATTCATGATCAATTTGCACATTTGGTGAGTAGTGGAGCGAGGGCTACACGTACATGGCGAGTCATCTTGCGCGCCTAAGCTCCTTGGCCGTCAATTCCCTTCCTCTTCGTCTTCCGTTTGTCTTCTTCCTTCATTCCACGTGTCGCTTTCCCGTTGTCCTCCATCCTCTCTCGTCCACCCTCTCTCCCACATCCACTCTCATACATCCTCTCTCCCACCCTAGCAGAGGTCTATTCTTCTTCACTTGTCGCCTTCTTCCCAACGATGTTGTTTCGTTACGTATCACGTGGATGACGAAGATGTGAAGAGGGAGGACGAGAGGGGGGGGGGGGGGGGGGGGAGGTGCGGTAATGATGAATGACTTACTATGAGGAGTAACGACGATGCAGATGGATGGCAAGGAAGAAGGGAAAAAAGGGGGCGTTAATGATGTGATGGTTTATTCCTATGATAAAGAAAGAGAGCGTTGGCGCCTTATATGACGGGAGCGAGATGGAGATGTGAGCGGTAGGTAGTTTAAGGGGGCGAGGGAAAGACGAGACGGCAAGAAGAGGAGGACCGGAAAAGACATACTGTAAAGGATGTGTAGAGAGAGAGAGAGAGAGAGAGAGAGAGAGAGAGAGAGAGAGAGAGAGAGAGAGAGAGAGAGAGAGAGAGAGAGAGAGAG